AAATGAGAACACACAATTTGGCAAATTAACCTGGCAACAAAGCTCAAGTTGTGAATTTAAAAGAATTTACTTCTGAATAAACTTGTACAAAATTAGATTTACAACATTGGTTTCTTCCATTAGCCTTTTATATATGTATGATCTTCCTACCATCATCCCGAAAAGTTTAAATTATGGAATACGTATCATTGTATTCATAAAATATTCTAAACAGATTTCATCATTGGAAATCATAGTTTCATTTATATTTATATATTTATGTAATTTAAGGTTACACAAAGTCATCTTACAGGTGACCTTATCAACATTTTTCTATCTAAAATTTCGGTCAAATCTTTTTTAGATGGCTTTTCAACCTTGTGTTTAAGAAAATATTCAACTCATTCTTAAATATGGCATAAATATTTAAAAAGGTTATGCAGAACAATGTCACTAAGATCTTGCTCAGAGATCTTAACTTCAAATAGGCTTTGTATTTCCATTGGTGTATATATTTCCTTTTATAGAAAAAAACCCAATAAAGTTCTTCAAAATATTTCTCCAAAGGCTACTTTCCTAACTGTCCCTAGGAAGAATATACTTTCCACTCCTTATAGACTTTTTGTGTAAAAAAAACCCAAAAATGATTTATGGTTTTGATGATTAGACAGAAAGACGAGAGTCAGGAGCTTAAATTTTAATTGTATTTATAACTGATGTGAAGAAAATCAGAAACAAACGCTTCATATCTTTATCCTTTTTTGTATTTTTTTTTGCATTTTAGCTTTTTCTTGTTTCTTCCTTTTTCATTCTATTTTAGTTTGTATTACTTATTATTCTTAATAAAATTTTCAAATAGGTATATATAATTTCCCAAGGTAGGCAAAGAAGAGATGTGCAGCAAGCTTCAAATGATGAATTTATGTAGGAAATGATTCAAATAAAATAATGATAGTCAGGCTTGTAAATACAAAATTGCACTTACTGATATGTTTCCATGATTGATCAACTTTCCATGTTGAACCTAAAGTTCCTATCTTTCTATAGCAAACCACACAATAAGCAGCCAGAGACATTCTGTAAAGGTACAAAAAACTGATTTAGCACATCAACAGGATTTTAAAAAAATATTTTATATATCAGTTATGCTCTATCTAATTCAGAGGGAGCATAGCATTCTTTCCAAAAACATATATTGCAAGTTTAGTACAGGATTTCATGATTGTAAAAAAAATCTTCCAGGACTCTTTCAAAGGAAAAATGAATTATATCATTTTCCAAACTTTTGATAGGGGAAGCCTTTCCTTTCTGAATTTAAATGAGAGGTGCAATTTGTTTTACAACCCAAAATAATATATTTTGCTTCACTGTATTTTTTTTATAAGGTAACTATTTTGGCTGTCCATCCTGGAAAAAGAGAGGTTCAGAGACACAATGAACAATTCACTGAAATCTAGTAATTTTGCTGCAAATCTATAGAATATTATTGGAACCATAGAAAATTATTGGGTCTTAACGATATTCTGTGCAGAGATTCAGTACAAGGAATATAGCAAAGAAACAACCAAGCTTTTTTTGGGGGGGGGTAAGGTGTTCTACTGATATATCATTTAATTTTTAAAAAATCCTGTGTTTCCTCCTGTTATAGCACTAACTAATACTGTCAATATTTTGCTGCTTATTCCATGGTTACCAGTTTACTCAACTAGCTCAGTTTGGGGGGCTGTATGTTATCCTTTACTAGTTTTGCTCAACAACCTAGGGTAAAAAATAAGACAAGATAGTCCTTAGTTCAGTAACCACAAAGAATACTCAGATTCTCAGTATAAATCTACATGTTTGAACAGAGTTGGTTTTTTTTAAAATAAATGACTCACTCAAAATGCCTAAAATGTGCCATATTTGAAGATAACGTTTAACTGTATGTTCTAACATTTTTTTCCAGACACAGTACAGCCGTGGGACCCTAAAAATAAACGGCAGTTGGTTAGCAAACGAAGCTTTGTTTGTGAAAATGCCATCTGACTTCATGGAAAACAACAAAACTGCCCGACCCTTTCAGTTTTGCAGTGATTTGTAGCTCAACCTTCCAAATCTGATTAACTGCCTTGTAGATGTTTCTGAAAACAGATCCAAGAGTGTGGGAGTGGTGACTAATTTCATAGCTGAATAACAACATTCACTAGTGTGTGTATGTATGTATGTATGTATATATATGTTATCCAAAAAACCATTGCGCATCTCCTACCTACACACCTTGAAATAAAACATGCCACAGCATCTCCTACCTACACACCTTGAAATAAAACATGCCACAAATTGCAGCAGCCCTGCCTTTAGTGAACGTACAACAGATCGCAATTTGCAAACAGCATAGAAATGCCCCAGTTCTAATCTTAGGGGTGCGGCACAATGAAAAGAGTACGCTCTAGGCAAACAGACTTTATGGACAGAGCCAAGCCTATCATTGCTGATCACAGCTATCATTATACAATGGACAAATGAGTTACACGAGCTCCGTCGCAATGTTATTCCTCATTCGGGGATTTCTCCGGCTAGGCAAGCCTGTTCTCCAGCCCCGACTTCACAACCACGCATCAGGTTGACCCCAACAGCCGCTCTCCTCCTGCCTCCTCCCCTACCTGCCCATCTCGGATCCCCGTCCCACTGTCAACGACGAAGCCTTTCCATACCGCCCACGCTCTGACGTCAACGTGAATCACGTTACATTCCCCCAGAGCGCCGCCCTCATAGCAGCA